GGCGTACTGGTCGATCGTGTTAGCCAAGTTTGGGGTGGGCAAGGTCGACTTGAAAATATAAATAAATCAATTATTTATATGAACAACTTGTCTTTGGATCAGGCCCAAAAAATTTGGAATAAACCAATCGCACCTTACGTTTTAGAGCAAAAAAGCTCTACACCAGACGGCTTGTTGCGTAACTGGCAGATTAATCAGATTACCCCTGTTAAACATTATGCCTATGCGTTACAGTGGTTTATGATGTCACTCGTCATCGGCGCAATAGCTTTTTATTATCAGCGGTCAACAAAATAACGTCACCTAACCATAGATTGTCATGGAAAAAGAGTTTTTTCAAACACAAAATCAAGATGTTTCCTATATTGCTCAGCGACGCAAGGGGCGCTTGCAGATGTTAGCGTTGTTTTTAGTTTGTATTATTCCTGTGATATTGTCCTATAGTCTTTATTATTTTGTAGACCCAAAATATTTGGCTAAGAGTAATTATGGAACGTTTGTCATTCCACAAAAACCTATTCCAAGCCATTTTATGCTGGAAGACTTGCAAGGCAAACAAACCACCCTAAAAATGGTGCAAGACAAACATTGGTTGTTGATCACTGTGAGTGATGCAAAATGTGATGAAAATTGTGCAACACGCTTGTTTAATATTCGTCAAGCCCGCGCTTTGCAATCTAAAGAAAGAATGCGCATTAAACCCATTTGGCTGGTCATCGATGATGGTTCACTCAACCCCAAAACCGTTTCTGCTTATACGGAAGTCTCTAGCGCATTTCAAATTTATCGCGTAAGACCAGAGCAACTCAATGCGTGGCTAGGAACCCCCAGTACAACAGCTCCGCAACTGGTCGATGAGGGCCTGATCTATATGGTTGACCCCTTGGGTAACTTAATGATGACCTATCCAAAAGATTTGGATTTCAAGAAGTTTACGAGAGATATCATTAAGTTACTGAAACGCTCGAGAATAGGTTAAGGCGGGAATATGACGCTAACCTTACTCCTTGAGTTTTTCGTGATTGTGGGTGCTATAACGGCAGTTTTGTTGTGGGTGGTGATTCGGCGTAACCCAGGCAAACGTTGGACAACTGCTTTAGCATGGGTGCTTGTGTTTATCACGTTTGATTTGGTGGTTTTCGGAGCATTTACGCGATTGACTGATTCGGGGCTTGGCTGTCCTGATTGGCCAGGTTGTTACACAAAAGCAACACCTTGGGCGGCAAAGCATGACATTGGTCAAGCCATGTTGGAACAGCCCACGGGCCCTGTTACGCATACGAAAGCTTGGATTGAGATGATCCATCGTTTTATTGCGATGACGGTCGGTTTGTTGACCATTGTACTAGTGATTTTAACGTTTGTTGAAAAAAAATCACGTGGTATTCGATTAGCCAGTATAGGACTGTTATTACTCATCTTGCTACAAGGCGCTTTTGGTGCATGGACGGTTACCTTAAAGTTGCAACCCATTGTTGTTACAGGACATTTGTTTTTTGGCATCTTGTTTTTGGGGGCAACCGCACTTTTTGCTTATGCTTACACAGACCATCAAAACCAGGCAAGGCGTTGGAATGTCACGCGCTTACCGACAAAGTTCTCGTCTATGGCATTGATTTTTATAATTTTATTGTTCGTGCAAATTATCCTGGGCGGTTGGGTGAGCAGTAACTATGCCGTGATGGCTTGTCAAGGTTTTCCACAGTGTAATGGGCAGTGGGTTCCAGACATGAATTTTCAGCAAGGGTTTACCTTAATGAGACCCTTACATGCTTTACAAAATGGTGAACCGATTTCACCACAAGCGTTGATCGCCATCCACTATTCTCACCGGCTATTTGCTTACCTGGTTGTTCTTTATGGATTATTGTTCGCATGGCGTCTGCGTGCGTTTGATCAAAAATCGATGAAGTGGCTTAGTGGACTATTGTTGATGCAAGTTGTAACGGGCATTGCCAATGTCGTTCTTGGGTGGCCACTGTTAGCAGCCATTTTACATAGTGCAGGGGCTTCAATGCTGTTATTACTGGCTATCAATATCTATGTGCGAAGTGCAAGCACCTATCAGACAGAGAATTCATCATGTTAAAGTCATATTGGGACATCACAAAACCGAGAGTGACCTTATTGGCCGTATTTTGTGCGGTGATTGGGCTGTTATTATCAACAGATGAGTGGGTTCCATGGCAACTGATTCTTGCCAGTGCTTCGGGGATTTGGTTACTAGCGGCATCTGGCTTTGCCATTAATTGTCTAGCCGAAAGAACGATCGATGCCAAAATGACACGGACAAAATGGCGACCCTCTGCAAAAGGTGATCTACATGCTTCTCAAATTATTCCTTACGCACTTGTCCTAGGTACGGCAGGCATGTTGATTTTATATTTTTATGTCAATACATTAACCATGTGGCTCACGTTTGCCACCTTTGTTGGTTATGCTTTTATTTATACTTTATGGTTAAAGCCAGCTACCCCCCAAAATATTGTGATTGGAGGTTTTTTTGGAGCAATGCCGCCTTTGTTGGGCTGGACGTCCTATACCAATCATATAGACCCTCAAGCATGGTTACTGGTGATGATTATTTTTTTGTGGACACCTCCACATTTTTGGGCATTAGCGCTTTATCGACGTGAAGACTATGCTAAAAGTGGGTTGCCGATGTTACCCATTACTCATGGACAAGCCTTAACTTGTTTACATATCTATTTATATACCATCGCTTTATTGGCTGCAAGTCTATTACCTTATTTGGTGGGGATGAGTGCTTGGTTATATTTAGGGGCAGCTTTAATACTAGGACTTGTTTTCGTATGGAAGGCATGGTTATTAAAGCGAGCCTATAGCGACGAGATGGCGAAAAAGGTTTTCAAGTACTCCTTGATTTATTTGTCACTTTTATTTTTTGTGTTACTGCTAGATCACTATGTTTTGCCGCAATACCGTCATGCGACGACGATATGGGTTGAAATGTAATCTCAAGATTAATATTTGTGTGATGTGAGGGTAATCGCCTAGCTAACTTAATGATAACGAGCGCAAAAGATTAACGTATTCGGATTGGATTTGTCGGTGCGTTACCCCATGCTTGAAAAGTCAAGTTCCCATTTTTTTGTTAAAGCCAATTTATGTATTATTTCTTGCGCACGATGCAATATGCCAAAAGGTATCCAGGATTGGTGACCTTATCGATCCTATTATCCATTGCCTATGCTATCGCTAATGCCTTGTCTGTCGCTTCTTTTTTGCCCGTGTTACAAGTTTTATTTGATGAAAGCAAAAAGGTTGTGATGGAGCCAACTTGGCCAACACAGCTTTCTTTTGAGTCAATTTTTCACTATTTTTCAGATAGCTTTTCCTTTTTTTTAAATCACATTAAAACGACCAAAGGGGTTGCAGCTGCACTGATGTTTGTGACCTCCATGACGATTGCGACTTTTGCACTCAAAAGCCTATTCCGGTACAGTTCCTCCGTGTGTTTGCTCGAATTAAAGACTAGAGTTTCCAATGAATTGCGCAACTTAATGTACAAAAAACTACTCCGTTTACCTTATCGTTATCATTCGTCGAACAAAAAGGGGGATCTGGTCGCACGTTTTTTAGGGGATGTACAATCCGTTGAGAACAATATGCTTAATCCTGTTGTTGATGGCGTGAAAGCACCCTTTACCATTTTAGCTAACGTGGCCATCATGTTGATGATTAGTCCTCAATTAACACTATTTGGGTTTATTGTTTTACCGATTACGGGGATATTAATTTCTAGATTATCTAAAAAAATTCGTAAACACTCTAAGGAAGCATCCTACCAAATGGGACAAATGGTGGCTTTTCTTACGGAGAGTTTAGATGGTGTCAAAGTCTTTCGGGTTTTTGGTGCGGAAAACAATGCGATTAAACAGTTCCAATTGATATTAAATCGTTATTATGTGGCTTCGTGTAAATTGTTTCGGCGCAATGAGCTTTCCTCTCCTATCAGTGAGTTTGGCGGTGTTGTTGGCATTATTTTTCTTATTTGGTACGGCGGTATTCTGATTCTTGAGAAACATACCCTCTCAGCTGTAAGTTTTCTCAATTTTATTGGTCTGTTTTATCAAGCCATGGCACCGATGAAAAGTTTAACCAATCTGTTTTCAGGAATTCAAAAAGGTGTTGCACCTGCAGAGCGAATTTACCAATTACTCGATGAACCAGAAACAGACCAAGAAACACGTCAACCACCGTTGCTGATAGAGCAATTTCAGGATCGACTTGTTTTTCAGCAGGTGAGTTTTGCCTATCAAGCCAACACAAATGTTTTGCATCATATTGATCTTGAAATTAAAAAAGGTCAAATGGTTGCCTTGGTTGGGCGATCAGGAAGTGGTAAAAGCACACTAGCTCAGTTACTTGTGCGAATGTATCCAGTGACAGAAGGACAAATTTTATTAGATGGTTTGAACATCAGTGATATTAAACAAGATGATTATTATCGACTATTTGGTTGGGTGAGCCAAGAATCTATTTTGTTTAATGATACGATTTGGAACAATATTGTTTTGTGGGGCGACCAATATACACCCGAGCAAGTCGAGCAAGCGGCTAAGGTTGCTCATGCGCATGAGTTTATTGAAAAACTTCCCGATGGCTACCAAACGATCATCGGAGACTCTGGTTTGTTATTATCAGGTGGCCAACGCCAACGTCTTAATATTGCACGAGCTGTTCTCAAAAACCCTCAAATATTAATTTTGGATGAAGCCACGTCCGCCTTGGATACCGAGAGCGAACGATTAGTACAAGATGCTTTAACCCACCTCATGGAACATCGAACTTCTTTGGTGATTGCGCACCGATTATCAACCGTTATGCAAGCCGATTGGATTGTGGTGATGGATGATGGCAAGATTGTTGAGCAGGGGCAACATGATGTTTTGGTAGCACGGGACGGGATCTACGCAAATCTTATCCGTATGCAAGGAATTGGTTCGGGTTAATAAATGGGTGTGTATTGATCAGGCCAACCAAGTTGTTTGGCGGCATCAAGCCACAGTTGAGCGTAACCACAGTGCTGATAATTTTCAAACCATGGACCACCTTCGGTATAGTGCAGGACCTTTGGGTAGCCGTCTTGAGGTTCGTGATACCAGTCTACCAGCCAATTCCATGTATGTGAGATGTTGCCAATCTCAGCGTCTTTCAACCAACTAAAACGATGTAAAAATTGTCCAGATTCAGTGTTGACGAGCTCAGGCGTTAAAGAGCGGTTAGACAGATGGGCACAATTCCAGATAATAAAACTACTCCAGTTTTTACGCGGGTATTGATGTTGAGTTTTACCATCCATTTTGATGGTGTGGCTAGGCTGATAATCGTGTTGAACGACCATAACTGCAAAACGATCATCTAAAAGTGGGACGAGTTCTTGAATATCCGCTAAAAATAAAAAATCACAATCACAAAAAATTGCCCAGCCTTGATATTGATTTAAATAAGGAACCAAAAAACGCGTAAAAGTAAACTCTGTGCTGGCCTTTAAATCAATGTCACGCCAATAAACACCTTCCTTGCGCAATTGTGCTTGTTTGAGGAGATGGTAGGCAGTTGTGCCAGAATTAAATTGTTTAATGCTTTCGATACAAACATCGGCAGCAATGGGTTCGCGAGAGTCCCACCCAACGTAGAGATTATTCAGAGACATAATAGCTCACTCTATTGTAAATGGGTAAATTGTAACAAAAAATAAGACCGTAAAATACGATCAGTATTCTATTCTAAGAGGAAGCGGTCAACTTTTTCTGAGTCGCTTGGTGAATCGCATGATGCATCGAAGCGTGATAATTTTCTTTTAAAACGATATTTTCTTGGCGGAGCAATCGTTGTAAATTATCTAAACCAAGCATATGTTTTTGCTTAACATGTTTTATATTATCTAAAGCCGTTGAAGTAATGGCATAAGCTGCATCAAAATGCACATTGGGTTTTAAGTTTAATAATTCCATAGGCATATCTGCAGGTAAAGTTAATGCTTTTGGAAAAACATTATTATAGTCAATGAGATCTGCTGGGTGTGGTTTAATGACGACTAATGCATCGTCAGGGGCGAGCTGTTCGAGCAAGCGTTGATAGACATGACATTGCTCTTCCTGCGTTTGGAGGAGTTGGCTGCGGCGCAAGTCTTGGGTAAGTAAAAGTATTTTGGTCTGCGTTGCGTCATAAAGCTGTTCTAATTGGGCTTGAGTGCCACCAAATACATCTGATAATATTTCAATTTGCTCAGGAGTTAGTTGATCTTCTAGTGCTTGGAGATTTAAAGGGTGAATTTTAGGTTGTAATTTAGGTGGCATGCGCTCTGGATGTTGGACATAGATATGTGTAACTTGTGAGTCAAGACCATGACCAATAGGCATGCCTAAAACTTTATTTTTGAAATGGTTCCAAGAAGAGACATCAATTCGGTAGGTGCCAAGACCATCTTCATAAAAATGAATGGGTTGCTTGCAAAACCGCAATAAAAAATAGGCTAAACGACTACTATAAAAAAAAATATTGATTTGACTTTTTTGAATAAAAGGAATCATTTGTACAAATGAGGGGTTGTTTTTCTCCATTTCATAGCGAATAAGTTGTGGTCGTGCCAAAAACCATTTCCATGATGTGACTGTATTGCGACGCAAATAACTTCGAAGACCGGCATGGCTATCAAAAGATACGATCTTCGCAACGTTATGCTGGCGAAGTCTTTCGAGCATCGCCGCTTTAGTCGGCCAGCCAGGATGACCACTTAACTCATCTAAAATAACTAATAGTGCTTCATTGGGCTTGTGTTGATGCGTAAAAATCAATAATAAAGCTAAGTAGAGGTTGTATACCGTTGTACAAATATAGGTTGCTTTGATATTTTCCATGAGTTGCGAGATATTTTAAAAGCTTTATTATGCGGGCAGGCTTAGTCCATAGATTGACAGTATTCGATTTTTTTATCAGGCATCAGTGTTTCTAAAACGTTGACGAGTTTGACGCGCGTGTTTTTCTTGAGCGTGAGAGTTGGAGCTTGGGTAAAACTGAACTGATTGAGAGCCAGAAGGATTTGTTCTAGATCATGATGTTGCATCCAATGCGAAGCTAAAAATAAGCTAATAATATTTTCCCACTGGTCTTTATTGGTGTAGTAGTGCGCAATGATCGGTTTTGTAGCGGTTAAAGGGTGATGAACTTGTGTTGCAACTGATAAAGCAAATTGTTCGATAAAACGAAATGGAGCACCACTGGCACACATATCATCACAAAGCTGCAATGCTAGATCAATGATGTTTTTGGCAAGTTTGCTAGGCAGACCCACTACGCCTGCATTCCACATGGGGTAGTCTGTAACGGGAATACCTGCAAAAGTTTTACCACTTAGCTGTTGATAAAGTGCTTTGTGGCTTTTTGTACCCTTAGCTAATAACCCTTCGTTTTCCCACATCAGCGTTTTGTGTTGTTGAAATGCTTCTGTGAGGTTTTGATGATTAGCAAATAAAAAGGTGTCTGAATCCAAATACAAAATATCTTGATCAGGTTTGTCCGCAATCAGTTGTTCAATGGCCTTAATTTTTATTCGCCAGAAAAAATCATGTGGGCCACGCCAGTCACGTAATCGTGATTCTGAAATAGGGATGATATTGACATGGGCTGCTAATGCTTGATAAAACATCGGCGCATCGGTCATGATCGTAATGCTTTGAACCAATTGTGGTACTCGCAAAAACGTTAACATCGAAAACGTTGATTGCAAATGATAATTGGCTTGCTGACCGAAGGTGATGTACAAAAGGTTCATAAGGCGATCAAAAAAACAAGGTTTGATTATACTGCCAACGATCGATTGTGCGTGGCAGATGAAGTGTTGAGTTCAATGGAGGCGTTGTTGTTCAAAAATTTTGATTTCAACAGCAAAAGCATAAAAGGCTTGGATGGTAGCGTAAGCTAGACCAGAAAGACCATTTAGCAAATACCCCCTAAAAATAAGGTTTCTGACAAAAAATAGCCAAGGATTGCCCAACAAACGCAGTAAACTAGGGTTTTTCCCTTTAGCGATTCGCTCAGCAGCTTTTAAGCTCGAATAACGGTTAATTTTTTCGATAGCCATTGTAATGGTATCTGCACCGTAATGGACCATTTCAATGTCAAGTGTGCCAATTTTTCCATTAACAACAGCAAATTCATGAACATAACTTTCAGTATTCCATTGGGCTTGATTTTTTTTGTACAGACGTAAAAACAGTTCGAGTCTCCCAGCACGCATGGGTTTGCCTAAAAGTACTTCTGCACGCTTAACACGAAAGCCATTGAACGCAGAGTCATGAATGGCCTTGCGCATTTTTGTGACAGCTTGCTCCTCAAAAACCTCATCACCATCGACACACAATACCCATTCCCCCTGACATAAACTCATTGCATAGGCTTTTTGTTTGGCGAACCCCAACCAGTCTTGATGGACAACGGTTGCACCAAATTGACGTGCAATGGCAATAGTTTGGTCGGTAGAGCCTGAATCTACAACAATGATCTCATCGACACCTTGTAATCGAGACAGCACTTGAGCCAGATGTTTTTCTTCATTTAAAGTAATGAGATAGGCAGAAAGTTTCATAGAAGCCATAAACCGTATTTTTGAAGGATCCCCTTAAAACCATCCTAAGTCAGGGGTTAGCAAATTCAATCGCAATCTATTATAATACTAGCCATGTCAAGGAGCGTTGCAATTGTTATATCAACAACAATTAGGCTTGACATCTCTAATTTATTTAACGACGCTCGCAAACTTGTTTAATTACCGACGAATTTAACAGGGGGCGAGTGAACCTTGTTTTGGTTGGCAAAGGATCGTTAAATGACTGCGAATTTTCAATTGACGGCGTTAAACCGTCCCTATACTCGATCGCAAGCCTTAATTGAGCTGCTCAAAAACCAGATTGTGATTTTAGATGGTGCGATGGGCACCATGATTCAGCGTTACCGACTTGATGAGGAAGGGTTTCGTGGTTTACCAAACCTCAAACGTTTTGAACATCATCCCATCGATCTCAAAAATAATAGCGACTTATTAAACATTACTCAGCCAGCGATCATTCAAGAGGTTCATGAGCAATATTTTGCAGCAGGCGCTGATATTGTTGAGACCAATACCTTTGGAGCTAATGCGATTGCCCAAGAGGATTATGGGATGCCTGAATTGGCGGTTGAGATGAATATTGCGGCTGTTAAGCTAGCTAAAGCTGCGGCACAAAAAGTAGCTTCGCATCGTCCAACATTTGTCGCTGGCGCAATTGGGCCAACACCTCGAACCGCTTCGATTTCGCCTGATGTGAATGATCCAGCGGTACGCAATGTCAATTTTGAACAGTTGCGCCAAGCCTATTATGAGCAAGCCAAGGCTTTGTTAGACGCAGGTGTCGATTTGTTTCTGGTGGAAACCATTTTTGATACCTTAAATGCCAAAGCAGCTTTGTTTGCTATTGATGAGCTATTTGAAAATACGGGAGAATTATTGCCTATCATGATTTCTGGTACGGTCACCGATGCATCAGGTCGTATTTTGTCAGGGCAAACCGTTGAGGCTTTTTGGGCTTCATTGCGCCATGCCAAGCCCTTAACTTTTGGCTTAAATTGTGCTTTAGGAGGGGCGATGATGCGTCCGTATATTTCACAATTGGCGAAAATGTGTGATTGTGGGATTAGTTGTTACCCTAATGCAGGACTCCCCAATCCGATGAGTGATACAGGGTTTGATGAGGGTCCGCCAGAAACAGCAGAACACGTGGGCTTGCTGGCAAAAGAAGGTTTAGTCAATATTGTGGGTGGCTGTTGTGGCACAACACCCGATCATATTGCAGCGATTGCTCAAAAAGTTCGTACATTTAACCCCAGAGGAGTTTAATCATGACAGCACAACGCAATGCGCCTTTGTTGTTATCTGGCCTAGAACCTTTTGTCATGGATGACAATACCTTATTTGTCAATGTGGGTGAGCGCACCAATGTTACGGGTTCTAAAGCTTTTGCTCGAATGATCCTCAATAACCAATTTGATGAAGCGTTAAGTGTGGCACGCCAACAGATTGAAAATGGTGCACAAATTATTGATATTAATATGGATGAAGCCATGCTCGATTCAAAAGCGGCTATGGTACGCTTTCTGAATTTGATTGCAGGTGAGCCTGATATTGCACGTGTACCCTTGATGATTGACTCTTCCAAGTGGGAGGTTATTGAGGCAGGGCTGCAATGTATTCAAGGTAAAGGCATTGTTAACTCCATTTCCCTCAAAGAAGGGCAAGACAAATTCATCGAGCAAGCCAAACGGATCAAACGCTACGGAGCAGCAACCGTGGTCATGGCTTTTGACGAGGCTGGTCAAGCCGATACCTATCAACGAAAAATTGAGATTTGTGAACGTTCTTATCGCATCCTTGTCGATGATGCAGGGTTTGCGCCTGAAGATATTATTTTTGACCCCAATATTTTTGCAGTGGCCACAGGAATTGATGAGCATAATAACTATGCTGTTGATTTTATTGAGGCTACCCGTTGGATTAAACAACATCTAAGAGGAGCCAAAGTCTCAGGTGGGGTATCGAATGTGTCATTTTCGTTTCGAGGCAACGAACCTGTTCGTGAGGCTATTCACACCGTGTTTTTATACCATGCCATTAAAGCAGGTATGGATATGGGCATTGTCAATGCGGGGCAGTTGGGTATCTATGAAAATTTAGACGCACAATTACGCGAACGGGTTGAAGACGTCATCCTAAACCGCAGAGTCGATGCCACGGATCGTTTGTTAGAAATTGCTGCGCAATATAAAGGCACACAAGAAACCCGTGTAGAAAACCTTGAATGGCGCAACCAACCCGTTAACGAGCGTTTGTCCTATGCCTTGGTGCAAGGGATTACACAGTATATTGTTGAAGATACTGAAGAAGCGCGTTTGCAAGCAACACGTCCCATTGAGGTCATCGAAGGACCGCTGATGGCTGGGATGGATAAAGTCGGTGACTTGTTTGGTGCAGGTAAGATGTTTTTACCTCAAGTGGTCAAATCTGCACGCGTGATGAAACAAGCTGTTGGGCACTTGGTTCCCTTTATTGAAGCTGAAAAAGCCAATGGTCAAGTATCGACCAAAGGTCGGATACTCATGGCAACGGTTAAGGGGGATGTGCATGATATAGGCAAAAACATTGTGACCGTGGTGTTGCAGTGCAATAATTTTGTCGTCGAGAATATGGGCGTGATGGTGCATTGCAAAGATATTTTGGCAAAAGCCAAAGAATTTGATGCGCAAATTATTGGTTTGTCAGGTTTAATTACGCCATCGCTTGAGGAAATGGCATATGTGGCCAGTGAGATGGAAAAAGACGAATACTTTCGCTCACGGCAAATCCCGCTGATGATCGGTGGTGCAACCACCAGCCGTGTTCATACAGCCGTGAAAATAGCACCTCATTATAGTGGTCCTGTGGTTTATGTTCCCGATGCTTCGCGTGCCGTTGGTGTGGCAAGTCAATTATTGGGAGAAGACAAAGCCAGTTATATTGCTAAATTGCAAGCAGATTATGAACGAATCCGTCAGCAACATGCCAATAAAAAAGCGACACCTCTGGTCAATATGGAAGCGGCAAGGGCTAATGCAGTCGCTATTGATTGGTTAAGGACACAACCCGTTAAGCCTGCCGCGTTAGGACGCCAAATGGTGGTCGATTATCCTTTGTCGGATCTTGTGCAAACAATTGATTGGACTCCATTTTTTCAGACATGGGATTTGGCGGGTAAATTCCCACAAATTTTACAAGACCCTGTGGTGGGTGCAGAAGCGACGCGATTATACGCCGATGCCCAAGCGATGTTAGAGCAAATTGTGGCGCATCGATGGTTGCAGGCGGCTTGTGTTTTTGGGATCTATCCAGCCAACCGTGTTGAGCATGACGATATTGCCATTTATGCCGATGAAAAACGTGATCAACCATTATTTATTTGGCACAACCTTCGTCAGCAACTGGTACGTCAAACCGATGAAACGGGCAAACGTATGCCCAATTATTGTTTAGCCGATTTTGTCGCCAGCAAAACATCAGGCATACCTGATTATGTAGGCTTTTTTGCGGTAACAGCAGGGCTCGGTGAGGCGGTCAAAAGCGCAGAGTTCTTGGGGCAACATGATGATTACAATGCTATTATGTTAAAAGCGCTAGCAGATCGCTTAGCCGAAAGTCTAGCGGAACGATTGCATCAGCGGATTCGTCAGGAATTTTGGGGGTATGGTGCTGATGAAGTTTGCTCAAATGAAGATTTAATTGCTGAAAAATATCAGGGCATACGGCCCGCACCTGGTTATCCTGCTTGTCCTGATCATCATGTGAAAGCTGATATATTCAATGTGTTAGGTGCGCATGATATTGGTATGCGTCTAACGGAGTCGATGGCGATGTGGCCTGCGGCTTCGGTATCGGGCTTTTATTTGGCGCACCCCGAGGCAAAATATTTTACGCTTGGCAAAATTGATCAAGAACAACTTGAAGATTTTGCTCAACGTAGCGGACGTGATTTGCAACAGGTGCAAAAAGATTTAGCGAGTATTGTGGTTTAGGGGCAACAAAAAAGCACCCGAAGGTGCTTTTTTAAAGTGATGGATGTGCAATTAGAACGATCCAGCAGGCACAACTTGTCTAGGCATGGGGCGTGATTTTTTTGCTCCTTGACCTTGACCACCTTTAGGACCTTCAGGTTTGCCAAAGGGAAAAGCATCTTCAGACATAGGTTCACCATTTGGACCTGTGATAAGCGCATCCGTGATGACATCTTGACCTTCTCCACCTCTAACGCATTGACTTTGTTGTTGATTAAGTGATTTCATGTGAACTCCTGTGTATTAAAAAATGAATAATCTATTTAAAAATTGCCAATCGGAAACTGTTGTTTAGGCATTGCGGTTGGTTGCCCTTTTAATTTGCCTTGTAGTTCTTGAACTTTCGTGCCTTCAGGCATGGGTGTTGCACCTAGATTATCTTCTCCAGGAAGCATATTGCCTTGACTGTCATAGACAGCCATTTCAGTAATACCTGTAGAAAAACCACCTTGAACCAATTGTTTTTGTTGATTGCCTAATAATTTCATTGCAAACCTGTAAAGTATGAGATAACAACATAATTACACTCATGTACATTGTACTTGTAGTCATCTCTTTATTTTAGGTTTTAACAATTGTTAACAAAGATAGGTTTACGTAGCTGACTTGTCATCACTTTCTGTGGGAATAACCAAAGCTTGGGCCCAATTTTCAGGAGGGTCTGTCTTAAATTCTAGGGATAGATGACTTGCCAAAAAATGTAAGGCATCGTAATAGACTTGTCTTTTAAATTCAATAACATTTTCAAGGGGTATCCAATAATCATGCCAAACCCAATCGTCGAATTCGGGCGTACTGGAACGGGTGAGGGAAATTTCAGCTTCGTTACTTTTTAAGCGCAATAAAAACCAAATTTGTTTTTGACCACGGTAGTAACGGCGGTTGTTACGACGTAAAAAACGCGATGGAACATCGTAATACAACCAATCAGGCGTGCGCGCAACGACCTCCACATGTTTGGGAAGCAAACCTATTTCTTCGTAGAGTTCACGGTACATTGCTTGTTCTGGGGTTTCGCGTGGGTTAATCCCTCCTTGTGGAAATTGCCATGCGGCTTCACCAATGCGTTTGGCCCAAAAAACTTGATGGTTTGGCCCCAGTAAAACAATTGCCGTATTAGGCCTGTAGCCGTCACGATCAATCATTTGGTCATCTAAAATATTGTACAATCGGGCGATTATAAACTGATTAACCAGCAATTGCATTTGATTTGCCAGAAAATGCACGGAAATTTTTTAAAAGCCCATGAAAGCCAAGCAATTTTTTATAAGCACCCAAAAAGAAGCCCCCACTGACGCAGAGATTGTGTCACACCAGCTGATGATGCGAGCAGGACTCATCAAAAAAACCAGTAGTGGGGTATATTCTTATATGCCCATGGGATTACGTGTGATACGCAAGGTGGAAGCAATTATTCGTGAAGAAATGAATAAAGCTGGTGCGATTGAGTTATTAATGCCATTATTGCAACCTGCTGAATTATGGCAGGAATCTGGTCGTTGGGATAAATATGGCCCTGAGCTTTTTCGCATTAAAGATCGTCATGAACGCGATTTTGCCATGCAACCCACTTCAGAAGAAGTGGTGACCGATATTGTCAGGCAGGAAATTCGCAGTTATAAACAACTGCCTAAAAACTTTTACCATATTCAAACTAAATTCCGCGATGAACGTCGCCCACGTTTTGGTATTATGCGTGGTCGTGAATTTACCATGAAAGATGCTTATTCTTTTCATGCCAATGAAGCTGATCTGGATCGTGAATACGACAATATGTATGCGGCCTATTGCAAAATTTTTGAGCGTTTAGGCTTAACGTATCGTGCAGTTGCAGCGGACACTGGGCAAATTGGGGGCACGGGTTCGCATGAATTTCATGTCATTGCCCAAACAGGGGAAGATACCATCGCGTATAACCCCCATTCAAATTATGCCTCGAATATCGAAATGACACCTGCGCCATCTTTATTGACCGTGCGCGGAGATGCAAGCCAAGCTCTTGAAAAAGTGGCAACGCCCACACAAACGACTTGTGAAGAGGTCGCACAATTTTTACAACTGCCTTTAACACAAACGGTAAAGGCTGTTGTTTTAGCCACACCACTAGCCCCACAAGAAGGCGCACAGCCCAACACGGACACGGTGCAATTGTGGATGATGTTAGTGCGTGGTGATCACGAGCTCAATGAAGTTAAAGCCTCAAAAATCAATGGGTTATCAGAGGCAAGACTTGCGAGCAGCGCAGAAATTATGCAAGCTTTTGCTTGCCCACCGGGTTTTTTAGGTCCTGTTCATTGTCCTGCACATATTCCTATCGTTGCCGATACCACGGTTGCCAATATGAATAACTGGGTGTGCGGGGCCAATGAAAAAGGTTTTCATTTTCAGGGGGTTAACTGGGGAAGGGATTTGCCAGAAGCGACTATCGTAGCGGATATTCGAAACGCTGTGGCTGGAGACGTGTCTCCTGATGGAGGGCAGCTTGCCTTATGTCGTGGGATCGAAGTTGGGCATGTTTTTAAACTGGGAACACAATACTCCAAAGCGATGAATGCGACCTTTTTGGACAAAGAAGGTAAAAGTCAAATCATGCTGATGGGCTGTTATGGGATTGGCGTTACCCGTATTTTGGGATCGGCTATTGAGCAAAATCATGATGATAAAGGTATTATTTGGCCAGAAGCGATTGCACCTTTTAGTGTGGTTTTGTGTCCATTGGGTTACGACAAAAGTGATGCCGTCAAAACACAAACCGATCGCTTATATCAGACACTGACCGATGCAGGTGTTGATGTGATTTTGGATGATCGTGGTGAAAGACCTGGTGCTATGTTTGCCGATTGGGAGCTGATTGGTGTGCCGCACCGTGTGGTGATTAGCGATCGAGGCTTAACATCTGGCACGATGGAATATCAAGGACGGCGTGATACCGAATCGCAAAATTTGTCAGAAAGTGCTTTGCTTGAGCTTGTTTTAAATAAAATTAATATTATCAATAAATTGTAATAAGTTTTGGTGTGCCAACACGGTATGCGCTGGGCATACCGTGTTGGCACTAGGCTAACTGGCTTGATTTATTTTACGGGCTGACGAGCATTCAAAGCATATAAACCCTTGATTACTTGATAGGTGGTTAATAAAAATGCAACAGCAAAAAATGCGGTTGCCATTTTCGAGGCCATAAGTTGTGTTTTAACAAGCGCGCCTATCCCTAACAAAACACCACCGATGAGTAAACTCTGGGTTAACGAGTCTAAATGGCTATATATCCAAAAACCCGTAAAGCGGGCTTGCCTAGTGATGGCAAAAAGCAAGACAAGTGCCAAACAACCATAAAAAACCCACCCACCTTGTGTTAACACACCCAAACATAGCGTGATAAAGGTGGAAAAATAAAGGATCAGCATTTGTTGGATGAGCGGTTGCTCGACTTTTGCCTGCAAGCTAGATTGCTCACCAGAATATGAGCTAAGCCTTACCGATTGTGGGTGTAGTTCGTCATGACTGGGGCGTTCAATGGATGGGCTTTCATTTTTGAGGTGCTCAGGAAGGTTCATCGTTTCCTCGCTAAAAATTAGATCATTAGAAAAGTCTTGGCAAGCGATTTAACCTATTGTCATGATTGTATTTTGTTGCGATTAGCATTGTTCTTGGGTGATGCACAATCATCGTTGTATCTCGATGATCAATAGTATAGATCAGTGTTGCGAAAATGCTAGGTTCGTGTTTTTACCTAGGCGTTTAGGGTGTTTTAGCTTATAATGGATGTATATTTCATCAACTTTAAAACGATGTTAAAAATCGAATAGGCTTTCTAGTTGCTATCTAATTGACAAAATTTACTTTATGATGCCAAAAATTTGGCTCATGAGTTGATTTTATTGGAGACTTGTTGACGATTGTAAGTGCTTTATTACAGTACTTCATCGAGAGATGTTTTTGCAAGAGGTTTGTTGTCAACGCTGATATGGTCGATGTGTTCTGAGTGCAAGATCGAACAAACCTGATGATGGGGAGGACGATTGCTGAAAATGACTTTTATGTATGAATAATCAAAATATAATTACAACTGCTTGTCGTTCTAATCGATCCTTAACTGGGCCTGTCGTGATGTTGACGGTGATGTTAGGTGCTTGTCAGGTGGATGATGCAGACTTAGGCAATGCTTATGGTGGCAGTCGTGCTTCATTGCCCGAGCTACCGCAATTAGTCGCTCAAGAAGAGTATAACTTCTATTATCAGGGCGGCAGTGCTGTGTGGTCGGTAGTTGGTGCGCTTAGCTCTGCAAATCAAAACAGTGCAGCACAAAAAGCTAATGCAAAAGCCAATGCCATTAACGATCAAGTCAAGAACAGCATTATCGGGCTTGCACCGCAATACCCCTATACAATCGACGAGCTGTTGTCTGGACAATATATCGAGCCAGAGCAGCCCCACTCTACAAAATTGTCTGATCGAGCTTTTGAACAGGTTTTATCAGGGCTTGGTTTAAGTGATCTTTTAAGTTTAGTTCAGACCGATCATCAGAGCATTAATCGCAACAAAGAGATACGTTTGTTAGGTTTGCAAAATCTTAATACTATATTTAAAAACAATACGTTACTCAAAAATTCGGTGACAGGGCAACAGCTTGATATCACACCATTTAATCAATTGACTTCGAGCTTTCTCAAACAGCTTGACATACAACAACTTGATCTCAATGGTTTTAATGCCTTAAGTTATCTGTTGGTA